GGCTGGATTCGAACCCACCACTTCAGGTGTATGTGGCTGGCGCCTTAGCCACTTGAGCCACAGGCGCCGAGCCAGAACGTCCTTCCTTTCACTAAGTCAACAAAGACCTGCTGAATATTAACTATATACTGGACACAAGACAGGTGTGGATCCTGGCTTCCTGGAGCTCTCAAATTGGTGGGGGAGGCATAAGAAAGTCTAATAAATTAGTGGAAAAATAAAAACTGTGGTAAGTGCTATGAAGGAAACGATCAGTAGCTAAAGTAGAGAATGACATGCGGACCTGTTTTAGACAGAAGTGACATGGAAGATGATGTAAAGGATGAGGAGGAGTGAGCCATGGGAAGGGACTTCAAAAGTGTTTTTGGTTTTGGTTTTTTGGCTTGAATGCAGTGGCACCATCGTAGTTCACCACAACCTCAAACTCCTGCACCCAAGCAATCCTCCTAATAGATGGGACCACAAGTGTGCCACCAAGCCAGGCTAATTTTTTTTCATTTTTTTCTGGAGACTGGGACTCAATATGTTGCCCAGGATGGCCTGAAGCCATCCTCCTGCCTCTGCCTCCCAAGTAGCTGTTATATCACTAGATGTGAGCCACTGCACCCTTTTGTAAAATTTAGTAATTGACAAAATTGTATATGTTGTATACAACATGATGTTTTGAAACATGTACTTGATGAAATAAAGCTAATTAACACTTGCGTTATCTCACAGACTTATTTTTGTGATGAGAACACTTAAAAGCTACTCTCTAAGCGATTTTCAATACATTGTTATTAACTATAATCACCATGGTGTGCAATAGATCTCCTTAACTTCTTCCTCCCACCCGAGTGAAATTTTGTGTCCTTTGACCAATATCTCTCCAATGCTCTCCCCATCTCCCAGTAACCACTTTTCTACTCTCTACTTCTGAAAAAGTTCAGCTTTTTTAGATTCCACATATAAGTAAGATCATTCAGTATTTGTCTTTCTCTGCCTGGCTTATTTCACTTAACATAATTTTATTCAGGTTCATCCATGTCACAGATATCAGAATGTCCTTTTATTCAAAGACTGGAATAGTATTCCATTATGCTTATCAGCTACATTTTCTCTATTCATTCATCCGTCCATTCACTTAGGTGAATTTCATGTCTTGCTACTATGAATATTGCTACAATGAACTTGGGAGTGCAGATATTTCTTCAACATACTGATTTCATTTCCTTTGTACATACCCAGTACACGGGATTGCTGGACCATGTGGACCATATGCTAATTCCTTTTTTTTTAAGACATGAGGGCTCACTCCGACACCCAGGTTGGAGTGCAGTAGCCTGATCAGAGCTCAGTGTGACCTAGAATTTTGAATTAATTGATCCTTATCCCTCTGCCTCTGCCTCCCAAGCAGCTAGAATTACAGGTATGCACCACCAACACCTGGCTAATTTTTGTACTTTTTTTTTTTCTTTTATGAGACAGCCTCAAGCTGTTGCCCTGGATAGAGTACTGTGGAATCACAGCTCACAGCAACCTCCAACTTCTGGGCTCAAGCGATTGTCCTGCCTCCGTCTCCCAAGTAGCTGGGACTACAGGGCTCCCGCCACAACACCTGGTCATTTTTTGTTGCAGCCATCACTGTTTGGCGGGCCTAGGCTGGATTCAAACCTGCCAGCTCAGGTGTATGTAGCTGGTGCCTCAGTGGCTTGAGCCACAGGCGCCGAGCCTAATTTTTGTACTTTTTGTAGGGACAGGGTCTTGCTATGTTGCCTAGGCTAATCTTAAAATCCTCACCTCAAGCAAATCTCCCCCCTACCCTCCCAAATTTCTGGGATTGTGGGCCACAGCACCCAACCCCTTTGCCCAGTTTTTAATTGGATTATTTATTTATTTTTTGCTCTCCTTTTATAATGTATGTTAAAGTTTGCACTCCTTATATAATGTATATTTTGGATATTAACCCTTTATCAGATTTGCAACTACTAACTCCCATTCTATAGGTTATGTCTTCACTCTGCTGGTTGTTTCTTTTGCTATGCAGAAGCTTATTTAATGTAATCCCATTTGTCTATTTTTGCCTTTGTTGCCTGTGTTTTTGAGATCATATCCAAAGAAATCATTGCCTAGACCAACGATAATGGAGCTTTTCCCCTACTTTTAGAAGTTTTATGGTTTCAGATCTTACATTTAAGTCTTCAATTTATTTGGAGTTGAATTTTGTATATGGGTCTAATATACTGAAGAGTTTGAGTTTGAGTTTGATTTCTTCCTTTTTTTTTTTTTTTTTTTTGAGACAGTATCACTCTGTAGCCCTGGGTAGAGTGCCCTGGATTCACAGCTCACAGTAACCTCAAACTTTTGGACCTAAGCAATCCTCTTGCCTCAGCCTTCTAAGTAGCTGGAACTATAGGTGCCCACCACAGAGCCTGGCCGGTTTTTCTATTTTTAGTAGAGACAAGGTCTTGCTCTTGCTCAGGCTGGGCTTGAACTCCTAAGCTCAAGCAATCCGTCCACCTAAGCCTCCCAGAGTGTTAGGATTACAGGTGTGAGCCATCACACCCAGCCTAAAAGTTTGATTTCATTCTTCCACGTGTAGCTGTTCAGTTGTTTAGTACTATTTATTGAAGCAACCGTCCTTTCCCAATTGTGTTCTTTGCATCTTTGTTGAAAATCAATTGATCATGAGCCCATAGATTTATTTCTGTGCTCTCTATTCTGTTCCATTGGCTATGTGCCTATACATATGCTATTCCATCTGCAAATATTGAGGACTGGGAGAAGGAAAGAAGATTCCAGGACGAGAATCCTGAGATGGGAAAAACAAGTATGTATTTCAAAAATTCAGAGAAGACCAGGACTTCACATTAATATTAATTAATTTAAAAGATAATCTAAAGAGATAGCCATAGGCTAAATGATGCAAAGATTTACAGATCAAGTCTGGATTTTATTTCATGTATTGAAGGAAACCATGGAGAAATATTGAGCAGGGAGGGATAGCTAATTCATATTTAAGAAGTTGACTTTGACTGCTATAGGCAAAATGGATCAAAGAGGGTTACATGTGAAAATGGAAAACCAACTAGTACACTAAAGGTCTACTAACACTTATGTTTTAGTATATAAATTTATTTTGTTTTTATACAGAATATGAAGACGTTCCTCATTAATCTTCCATTTGAAGGATTTTACAAGCCTAAATGAAGACGCTTTGTGCAAACCAGTGGGTGGTGGTACTGCTACTATACATAAGTTAGGACAACTAGCATCACATATTTAAAAGGGGTTAAGAGAAATATCCTAGTTAATTACATTCAAGACACAAATGTGACACAAAACTGTAAATAAGACCAAGACAGTAATGTATACAAAAGATGATAGATTAAGATGTTAGAGATGGCTCAGCTCCCATAGCACAGTGGTTATAGTGCCAGTCACATACACAGAAGGTGGCGGGTTTGAACCTGGCCCAGGACAGCTAAACCACAATGACAACTGCAACAAGAAGTAGCCGAGCATTGAGGCGGGCACCTGTAGTCCCAGCTACTTGGGAGGCTGAGGTAAGAGAATCACTTGAGCCCAAGAGTTTGAGGTTGCTATGAGATGTGGCCCCATGGCATTAGAACCAAGGGTGACATAGTGAGGCTCTGCTAAATAAATAAATAAAGATGTTGGAGACAAGGGAGAAGAATTGAAGAATTTGACATGAAATTTCAGAAAGGAAATTTTCTGGAGGGCTGAGTTGTTCTACCCTGCAGATGGCTCAGGACAGTAGTTTAGAAGAGTAGAGAAAGTTTAAAGTTTAACAAATAATGGAAGAAAAGGAATCCCAGGGAAAATGGAGGACCTAGTTGAAGTTGAAAAATCTTCACTTTTTAAATTCTAATTTACTAATTAATTTTAAATTAATAGGTGTTAGACGATTACATCCTCTTTTCTAAAAATTAGCATGTTACAGATAAAGCTAAAATCCCTTTTATCACTGCCTTGAATCCTAGCTCCTTCCACCCTTTCTAACAGGCCTTTTGAAATGCTTTAATGTATGTATACCTGTTTGTTCCCTTAGAAAATATATCAT